ATAATTATGTATACTGTACTAACGTTGTAACTTGGCAAGCCTGATCTACACGCCAGAATAGCTCGCAGAAAGGTAAGTAAATTCCTAGTTACTTGACATTTAATGACATATTTTGGACAGCTCACACAATATCTTTTTAAATTCTAGCTATGTGTTATTCTCATGTAAACGAATATTATTGGATTGAAATCCATTCAGTAGTTTTTGCGTGAAAGAGTAACAAACATCCATCCACACATTCAAACTTTCACGTTTATAACATTAGTAGGATAATAACTGAAGTATGGTGATAAAAAGCAATGACGATTGTCGTATGATGTTATGAACGACATTTTCACCCGCCATTATCCACTCAGTCTTGACAGTAAATACGTCGCTATTACAGCCCACACCGCGGCATAACACACTTTCTTATTGAAAGAAACATCCACCCACGAGTATCGGCACGAATAATACAGCGCCGGTTTCAAAATCTAAAACTGCGATTTCCGAGTATGTTACGCAAGCATCAAAGATCAATGGACAAATTACGTGTCAGTGTATTGCGGAGTAGGCAAATTTTATTATTAGAATTTTTTTAATAGACTAATATACCTTTACGATGGTATCGATTCGCGCTAAAAGAGACTTTTGTTTGTTTTTTTGGTGTAAGAACATTTTCTATATCAAACAAATCTTAAGTAATATTATAAAGCTGAAGAGTTGATGTGTGTTTGTTTGAACGCGCCAATCATAGGAACTACTGGTACTAATAGAAAAATCTGGCATTAATCGAGCAAAGACTAGTAGGAGCGAAAAAACAGTGGTGTTGAACAGGGAAAATTATTTATTTTGGAGGGCTCCATCTTGGAGAGTTGAAAACGGTTCAATTAGGGAAAAAGCTATGTATGAAAACGGTTCTAGATAACAAGTTCAAATAATATGTATGAAAGATGATTCCTCTTCAAATGAACAAAAAAATGTCCGCGACAGTATATGTCTATCTTTTAAGATAAACTCGCGGTACGCGGTCGACTGCGTCGTTATGCTATAATTTATAAAGCAAAAATAAATTTTGATACCCAAATTAACAATTGCATGCCGACGAAGGTATGGAGCACAGCTAATAGCGTAAAAAATTCGCACTAAAAGTAGTACTTTTTGAAAAGAGTGTAGAGTACATTTTCTTTTAGAAAATATTAGCAATGTTACGAGTAAAACATAATTTTCCAAGCTGTGATTTTGATATTTGTCAGTTTAAGACAAATTTTCAAGTTAAATATCGTTAGTTGATTTATGTAAGCCGTATAACTTACTGTTTTGTGATTGTATTAAAAATAAAAATCGTAAGTAGGAAAGACGGTAATTCGAAAAGAATCCTGTTGTTTGACAGTTTTAAAGCAGTTAAAAACAACGTGATAATTCTAAATGTACCGCTTTAAGATTAGGATGTCTACTGTCTCCATGATAGGTGCTGTATTCGACAAAACAATTAAGCATATGTGATAATTAGAAATCTATTTAAGATCGATGACACGTGCTATCTGCCGATGCTCATACCAGACTCAAATAGAATTTATGTTTGTTTAAAGCTTTCATGCTCTCTATATTATTTATATCTACAGTTTTCGCGAGTAGTCCACATTTAAATAAAGGTTAACGGTTTAAAACGCGAAATAAATTAGTTATACTTATTTATTAAAATTATCGGCGTAAACTAGTCTCCGTGACCACGGGTACTGCAAGCCAGACTAAAGCTCGGGCCGTAGTTGAAATCATTTTTAAGTAAGTTTATCTAATATATTTCGCATTTAAAACACGCTATTTAAAAAGAAGCTACCATCTTAAAGAAATATGTGAAATTTTATTACATAAAAACGAAGTGTGTACTAATATTAATAATAAATTCAAAAGTACTTAACAAGAATATATTTATTGATCAATCAACAAGGATTATAGTGTTTTGAAATAAAAATTATAGCTTTTTGCGATACATTGACACAAACTACAGTAGGACGATAAACGTTATTCGAATTAATTCAACGCTCAATACAGCACTGAAATGGTTATGTCGGTCGGTCAAAGTGCCCGGTGCCACCCACATTGCTTGCATCGTTTATAAAATGGCATCGCATTTCCGTTGTAAGTCAAACACTTCAATGCATTAGCGTCGCTTCGAACCTGCCCGATTCCTATTTGCAATAAAGCTTCTGGAATACCCGTCTATCAGAGCCTTTTAACATTCCTGAAATAACCTGAATCAGGTCCGAACCCAAATACATCATCAAGATGAAGAAGATATAGGTACCTATAATATTTTACAGTGATGAGTGAATCTAATGACTCGCAAAGTTTGATATAGAAAAACAGACCATTTGACGTACTTTTTCTAAAAACATATTGGACTGCGTCTTAAAATCTAGATAGTAAATGAGTGGTAAGAATATCAATCTTCCGTTCAAGTCAAGAACCACCGCCGACAGAACATAAAGTCGCCAAGTTTAATCGCGTTTCGCTTTGAGTCTGTGGATTTCATGATAGCCAAAACCAAAATAAGTGGACATCATGTTGTTTAGATTATGGCTGGAGATTTCACCTACCATCAAATTAAACTCATGCTTCTGTCCTCCGCTATCATAAAACATACATCATACAACATAAGCAGCTAGTGGAAGAGTCGCAGTTTAAATAAAACACTTTAACGGTTTAAAACGCGATATATTAGTTAAACTTATTTGAACATGATTTTTAACTTCGGCCCGACGTTTCGGATGCTTTGCAGCAGCCGTGGTCACGGGGAGACAAATCATTTTCAAATAAGTTTAACTAATATATCGCGTTTTAAACCGTTAAAGTGTTTTATTTAAATGTGTACTAATCGCGTATGCTATAGACAGTATTTGAGTCGCAGTTTATTTATTAATTATTAAAATTAACTAACTTGATTTTTTTTATTATAAGTTGTGTATACATGTTGTAATACTATATTAGCGGTCGTTAATAATTTACGAAATATTATACCTTTAACTCTGTATCCAACGATTTTGCCACACTGATTCTTCAAAACTTCTATCTCATTATGAATATTGAGTTCGCTCGAAAACTTCTTTTGCTGTCCGATCAAGTTCTTTCTCTTATTGTCCGATTGAAAAAACGATACAAATTTGTGTAACGGCGTCATTGTACTATCCTTTTTAGGCTAACGCAAAAAATCTTAGAACATGTTACAGTTGGATTAATTCGAACCGAGTTGAACAACCGCACAATTTTCGACACCGATCTTTATTTATCCATCAATCATTTTAACACACGGTTTAATGGATGTCGACTGTGTTTGCTGGTCGGTAGCGCGAACAACAATGTCTTTGAGTTTGACTGTTCTATGTACTCGTACTTTCCGCAAGCCGCAAAAAACTTTCAATTCCCCGTTATAAACAAAGCAAGGCCCTCTCACAAATAAATTACTTTTAAGAAGCTAAGACTATTAATCTTAAGAATTAAACATAATATATAGTTATATGTATATCATATATTGTTATATTTAACTAACTTTATTCTGTATTGTATTGCTAACTTTTTAGTAGTTAAAATTAAAATTGAAAGTTTTTTGCGTGTATGCAAATTTTTTGACATAACTTAATTAATAAATATATAACAATAATTCTACTTAACAGGTAAATTAAAAATTTAAAGGACGCCTTTTTATAAAAGAGCTTTAAACATAGACATGTTTTCGTTGCAAAGTTGTTAGAAAAAAATCACAGTAAAGCATTATAAAAGAAAATGAAGGGATTTACAGAAATTGCACATTTCAAAACGTTAATTTTTAATAATCAATTATTAGATACAGCCCAGTGATGTTAATTATTAATAAACATATGTAACCTTACATGATTATTGCAAATTGTCCACGTTAATTTAAATTCTAATTAGCAGCCGATATTACAAGAATACATAAATTAATTAGAGACATTAATTATGTACTTAAAAAGGATAGGTTTTGTCGCCATAATTCATTATTCCCATAATTACATAAATAAACTATTGAAGAAATCAATTTTCAACCCTCGACAGTCTTAATCATTGAAATTGCTAAATCGCCATAACGAAATATGCTTAAAGGTTATTCTTTTATGCTTTAAATTAAGCTTCATTTCGGGTACGAAGTCAGGTCGAATCAGTAGTAACTCATAAATTCTCTTTCCCTTACAGCGAAACAATGATTATGCAAACTCATATCTCATGAGGGATCATACAAGCACGTAACAATGAACATTTTGATCCATCTATCATCTTAATTGCACCATTATAAGGCAAATTAAGACACGTTAATAAGACAGACTTGGTGAAATGCAGCACAAATATCTTCTTTCAGCATTCTCAGACAGTTTTATGCTAATAATTTAACAGAAGATGACTAATTTTGTCAAGTTTAACCATTTTCAAATACGTATAGAAGTTGAATATTTCGTTTTGTATACTATTGTATTGCATTTAATTTCGACACAGACAATAGAATAGTCTAAAAAGATAAATACGTATTTACTAATTTTAATTTGTATCTGTGAGTTTAAATAAAGCGACATCTATCCGTAGCACAATGCTTTAATGCAATTTACTTATATTACCCATAGAATGTTATTTTCCAACATTGTATTGCGATAAAATTTCACAAGATGATTATTAGGTATATTAATATACCATAAAACAGAAGAATAGTAAAAAAAGATAATTATCTATTAACTTAATTCATATCTGTAAGTTTGAATATAGTGACATCTATCCGCAACACGACGTATTAATGCAACTTACGTAAATATACGATGTTACTTTCAAGCTTTGTTGTGGTCGAATGCCACTAGATAGCTCTCGCATACCGAAATATTTCACATCGCGCTTACATTATTACTTTTTAATACAAATTGTAGTTAGAACTTTATCCCAACAATGTTACATATCCACGTTATTACTGGAAACATACCTCGCCTATAAAATTTAGTTAATCTGATAATGTTGCTCACCTTTTGTTGTTGCGAGTGTAGTCGGTCTTTGTGGCGTTGTCCTGTGAGGAACAGGTTTCCTAGGTGACGGTGGCGGCGCGAGAGATGTCCGAGGACGCACAGCCACAGGAGACGATGATAACTTTTGCACCACGCCATTCTTTTTAGCTGGAAAATTATGATAATAGATAAGATACTTTATCGGCGAAAGGAGGTTTTTATATGGTTATATTTCGTTTCGTTTTTAATGCTAACTTACATATTGACGACGCCCTCACTTGCGTTAGGTCGGCCTCTGTAAGGCCCACAGAATATCAGTGTTGTCAGCCCTATCATAGCTTCCTTTTCAGAGGCAACTATATTGTCGTATTTAATAAAAATACAAATTTGCATTTTGTTTACTTCTTGATATTGTTTGTTAGCTTAAGTTTTAATTCCAAATGTTGTGTTTATGAATAAACGTATTCTATTTGATTCTAAAACGAGTAGCTATTTATTTAAAAGTAACATAATATAATGACTTCAATTTGTTAAATAAGGTTTAACTTTTGATGTAGCATAGACAGAGAAAATATAGTTTAAAGTTTAAATAATTACTTTTTAATCAAGACAGTGCTATGGTATAATTAATACACCATACAGGCGCAGGCGCCATTGTTGACAGTTCTTTCGAAACATCTTATGAAACAAAATATTACTGTGTGCAAACAGTGTGTAGGCGAGCAATGTAAGATAAAAGACGCAATAACAGAGGTTTGTCAGAAAATTAAAATTAAGATAATTATAAGAATTTAGGCAAAAAATTATTACATCTATATATCTAATTAATATATTTTATATTACCTCAAATAGCTAAGTAACTAAAGAAGATTAAGCAGTAAATTCCCATAAATGATAACTATGTATAATTTAATAATTACTTTATCTTTAAAATCCATTACTTAAGCTAAAATTGTCTCGATCTTTTACAGCTTAACAATTCGTATTAATAATTAATGTTTTCTAATTGTGAGAATAATTATACGAAAATAGTCGTATAAAAAATGTAAAGAAAAAAATTATCTGTAAATTACTATGACTATAATCTCTCATCAGTCTACACCCCGTTGAGGTTTTAGAGAAGTAATGTCGGGGGTAAGAAGTGATATGAATCATGAATAAACCAGTGACTCACCCTGATTCGGGGGGGTTGGCTGAGGGGTGGATGTAGCGGGGGTTCGGTTGGTCGTCGTTGGTGTTGGAGCGCTCTCCCTCTTTTTCCCATTTCCTGGAAAGAGGAAACGATTTAGATCAGGAAATACGGCCGTCTAAGATTCTAGGTATGCGTTTATAGGTAGAGGTTTCAGTCAGTAGCTGACAGTATACTAAAGCGGGATAAAATGATTTTTTTTATATAAATTTTAAATGTACTTAGATAAAAGCAAATTTTGCTAATGTTTTTAATGGTTAATTAAAAATAGAACGTAATGCTAATAATACAGGACACAATCTAGTCAATGCCAGGTTTGTGTGTTTATGATCGATTTATTGACAGACAAGTTGTCAAACATTTTGCCTCGTCAGGTCTTCCCGAGATTTAAACCCGCTGAGCAAGTCGTAGTCGAGTGAATAATAATAAAGACTTTAATAATCAATCGTTAGTCCTCATTACCTAGTTTTCCTGGTTAATAAACAAAATGCACCGTAGCGACAGTGTATGCAATATCTTTATACCGAATCGTGGGAAGATTGCATCACACAATCGAAAGATAAAATGAAATAATATTTTTTCATTCGCATGTCGTTGTCTCAAAAATTTCATTCCGTAGAAAGTTTTGACTAGACCGCAATAATACGAGTACGTGGGCTGTTGGAGAGTTGACAATCGTTTACTTCTTCACGGCTTAAACACCAATTAAGTACGATGAACAATAAAAGTTTACATTCGTATTCATCTTATTCATAAATGATGTCAATAAATAAAAAGAAATGTCAAAAAAATAATAAAATATTTATGGTTTAAAATGCGAAAGTATACACATTTATTTTTAACAACGACAAAACAGATGGCGTAGGACATTTGACTTGACATAATTACACGCACACCCTATTTATTCGGATTGTAGTTAAATCATTTAATTAAATTTAATAAGTAACGCTAGTAGGAATTCCAAACCGTAATATTAGTTAACTCAGTCGCAATTGAATGTATAAATTCTTTAATAAATGTCTATAAACCTAAAGACAATAAGAGATATTCAGCGATTATGTTAATTTAAATATAACCGTAACGGTTTAAAACGCAATATATAATAAATAAACTTGTTTGGAAATCATTTTTACTACATCACATGTACCTTTGAAGTTAGTATTTGGCGAAACTGGTTATGTTAATCCTATATCATTTTGGTCCTTGATATCGGTTTGTAATTGTAAACTTAGAGCTATGGCCCCAGTAATAACAATATTTTACTACACAGGTGCATTGAACACGTGAAAAGATTAACTTTGAAACTCCATAAGGCTTCCTTACATTGCTTGCATGCACGTCGTTAACCGTTACTTTTCTGCTAATGGGCCGATGATGCAAATGCGATATTATTAATTTATGGCTTCGACTTTATAAAACTTTCTATTATGTTCATAGTTTGTTGACATTTACGTGTTGATTATTAAACAGCGACACAATAAACCACAATGCAAATGCTGTGCCACTACAAGATTGTTGATTTGCGGTATTTTGCCGACAGACAATATTTACATAGGCGAGGAGAACGTAAATTTTAAAAATGCGATCAATGAAGTACTGACTCTTGTCCACAAAACGTATGTTATATATTATATGAATTACAGTTACGACCGATCTAGAATAAAAGGTTATTCTCGTACGTCGCGAGACATTCAAAAATACTGAAAATGGAACAGAGAAAGACGATTTAAAAGATGGGAAGACGATATTAAGATTACGGCAAGAAAAACGTGGACAAGAATTACAACACTAAGAGTCGCGTGAAAGAAGATTGAATCGGCCTACGTCCAAGGGATTTAAGTATACACCGGTAGTTGATTAACGAAAACATAACTTTTAATTAGTCATACTTTGCTACCATTACCTATCAGCCCGACAAAATTAATTAATAATTATATTATTATTTGATCGCGAAAAGTTAGCACAGATTATAGATATAGAGTAGAAAAAGAACTCACCTCTAGTACCGAACGACCCGAACCGTTCTCTGTTCACGGATATTTTATATTTTTTATCGCTAGGAACCGGTAATTTGGACGGATATTTTTCCGAGTTACTCCTGTACAGCTTCTCCTTGGACCCGTGTGCCCCCATCTTCAAAAACTTGAAGAACTTCATCAAGTCAAACGCATAACATCACAACACGTCAATTAGGAACTAGTCTTGATAAGATCACTTCACATAAGTCATTTATCCACAAATTCTCTTATCAGAAAGTACGGAGACATCGTTTACATCATTATTGACACAGCCATTCCGCACATCCTGCTTTGATCATATTTGAGTACGTGTCATAATTGAACTGAGTCTTGGAGAAAATGTCTTGACAGTTGATTCATTAAGTCGACTAATTATTCTATAATTAGTAAACTTGATTGGATAATGGTGCAGCAACGTTAATTAAATGACTGTCTGTAGTTTACAAGAATATATATAACACTTTAACGGTTAAAAACGTGATGTGTATTAGATAAAAATTATTTTAATTAAAGCCCCACGTTTCGGTTGCTTTGCAGCAGCCGTCATGACTACGTGACAACGGTTTTATAAGTTTAACTGATATATTTCGTATTTTAAACCTTTAAAGTGTTATATTAATCCAGTTAATGGTTTTTGTAAAATTTCAATATGAAACCGCTAACTACTAAATAATGATTTTTTATATCCCAAGTAATTTTTTTCAATTGTAAAATTAAAAGCTATTTATTTATTCCATTATTTTTTCTATTCTGTCCTTTATTGCAAACTGTTAAGATTTTTATATAACATAAATAAAAATCACTTAAAAAAGCAGAATTTTAACAAAAGCAAATAATATTAATATTTTTTATATATAAATTGGGATATAGGTATATAATTTATGATTCTCACAACAGTCTGCGTATGTATAAACCATCTATAGCTACAGAACATAACTCAGAAATAGTTTATTAATGTGATTGTATTGTACGTATGTACTTACACGGCCGTTCAAAAGTAATGTTTCAACGATTGTTTGTCAAAAGGATTTCATTACTCGCACGTGCTATAACGCGATCACAAAAGCGACGTTCGCTGATATAATTATTGCGACGCTTTAATCTATTTCTGTAGCCGACTCACCGGCTCACCAGGATACATAGAGCCTTTCATTATATCAAGTTTCTATTCACAAACAACATGGAACAGTACAAGCGGTTGTACTGCGTGGATCAAGAGAAAATGGTTATTGAAATGCAAAAGGTTTTTCCGAGAACTTCAAATATAAATAACCCTGTTGTATAAAATGGCTTATAATGTATAACGGTAGTTGAGCTTACATTGTAATCAAATTATATTAATTCAAAATACTAATAGATTATATTAAACTTTCCTAATAAAATCCATTAACTATAAAACATTTACAACAAGGTTTATTTTGAAGCTTTGAAGAAGGGTACACCGCTTCGTTACGTATTGTACAAGATTGTGTTTAATTTTTAAAAGTTATTTCCAGTTTCGGAGAATACCGTCCCATGCAGTAGAATTTTTCTATTATAGAAGACAGAGACAGAGAAGCAGTGGGTTCATTTAATGGAAGGGAAATATAACATCTAAACGAGACGTACTGTCGACCTTTTTTGGCTTTGGATATTTGGAAACCAGAACTATATCTGTGAACGGTGATTCGTGATTCAGACGGAATTGCAATGTCATATTTCAGAAAAATTATAAATTGATTAGAAGAATATTGGAACAAAGAATATTGTATAATATCCAGGGGCGTTGGAACCCAAAAACATACCAAGAATTCCCTAAAAGCCCGTTAAAGGAGTAGAAAATCTTTATTTTCATGAATCGCAATACTTATCTTATTCAGAAAGCTAACAGCGAACTTATTGAACACGATATGAAAGTTGTAAGTAGTTAACCGAGTTAATAGATCATATTAAATATTAATGATCTCAGTCCGAGGAAACACAAGAAACTCTTTCAAAGATAATAAAAACCGATAATGTTACACGAGTGTTATAAATTTATTACTTTTAAATGTCCAGTAATTAATTACAAGACAACCGCTTTTTGTACATTGACCACGAATTTTAACATTTTTTTTATTTAAATTTCACATAAGAGCTTATTTTAATGATTCCATATTTAAATTACAATGATGTAACATTTTTATTACATTATCTTACCTCAAAGAGGTCCTAGATTCTAATCTAAATTTTTGTAAATAAAAATCGATCAGTAGATAAATGTCAGCCCCATATAGGAAATATCAAACATAAGACATCTAAACACTTCTTTAGTTTACGCGAGTAGTGCACATTTAACATTTAAATAAAACACTCTAGCGGTTTTAAAATGCTTTGCGGCAGCCGAAACGTCGGGCCGAAGTTAAAAATCACTTTCAAATAAGTTTAACTAATATATCGCGTTTTAAACCGTTAAAGTGTTTTATTTAAACATAAGACATTTTTTAATAAAATTGTAAAAAATTAACGTTATAATATCGGAATGAACATAGGTAGATAAGGAAGCAATTTAATATTAGCGTTTCAAAAATCTATCTATTTGAATAACTGTAAACGGTTCAAAACGCGAAACATATTAGTTAAATTATTTTTAATTTAATCTTTCTATGGCCGGGCGTTATATCACAAGATTTTTTACTAGTTTTAAAGAAATTTCACTTATTGATTTAGCAATAAGGTATACACATCTGTACTGCATACAAGTGCTAACTATTTCGTATAAACCAAACACGGAATTTCCATTAAAACAGTCTGACAGAACAATACTCTTCACTTAGAACAAAACAAGTGTCATCGCTTCTCTTGCATAGTTATTTTAGATACGATTCAGGGTTAAATAACTTAGGACGCTCTACGCCTCCTTTCCAGTGATATTTTAAACGTCGCTCTAGTGTTGCAAACACGGGCTAGTATATTTAGAATCTTGTTACTTCTAACATATAAACACGAATTGAGGACAGCTGACGTCCAACTATTTCCATTTAGGACTAATCTCGATTTAAATATCGAATTTCGCTTAATTCAAATATTGAATTTCGCTTC